CCCTTGTCAAATGGCTTGATGAGAAGTTGAACCCCCATCAGTCTATTGCTTCATAATATCAGATAGCTTCTCTTTTGCTAAAAGATTCGAAAACTGGACATCGACAAGAACACCATAATGGTATCCTATGATATCACATCTTTGTACACAAATAGACCCCTCCAAAAACCATCAAAATCATCCCTGAAAAGATGTTCGTAGACAACTGTTTAAATGAAACAATCTTAATACCACTCAACCTGATCTGATTCAACTGCTAGAAAAAGCACCACGGCATCACCTGTTCCAGGTTGATGTCAAGCTTTACAACTGGACTGACAATGTAGGTATAAGCCTTTACAATGTAGGTATAAGCCCCTAGTTACAAACAGATGGGGAAACTGGAACAAGACAACAAAATCCCAGATTTCCGCAGAAGCTATGTGGACCACATCCTTTCTACAAAAATAGATGTATCAGCAGCAAAAGCTTTCTTGTCAATCCTTAACACAGTGTTCCAGCTAAGTTTTTAGAAGGGGTCACACCATTTATCAGGTGGGTCCCCAAAACATGGGAGTTGCCCATCTGGTGCAGTGGTCATGTTGGAAGAGAAGGATCAGGAAGGGGAGTCAACCCTTTCTGTAGGGAAGGGCCTCTTAGCACTACCCCTGGAAATTTTAAGGACTTTGATATTTCATGGTGCTCTCTTAAGGTAGCATTTGGTAGAGACAAAAACATGAAAATAAGTTCAAATAATCTTGTTACGAAAATAATGATCAATTTATAAAAATCAATTGTCTTTCAAATACCAAACATTGTATAGCCATTTCTGATTTATCTTATTTACAGATGTCAAAGATTAGATGTTAAGGCCTTCACTATGGTTCTTTGTAATACCTATTGTCAGTGGTCCGATGATCACCACTGGGCTTTTGTAGTCCAAAAAAATGTCAAAATTTTCATGTTCTCCTTTTAAACTGGTTCAGACATCTAGAGAAAAATGCTGCTCTCTTCCCCTGTGTTGTTTTGATAATTCAATATACAATCTTCTTTTATGATAGACTTTTCCACTACACAATCGTCTTTTACGATAGACTTTCACAACCCTACACATTGATCATAAAGAAGTTCTGGCTCAAACCTTGCCAGCCTCCATCTGAGTTCCTCATTGGCAAAATCAAAATGAAATCATTCCTTGTGATAATGCAGCTGCAATGCACATTATCAATAAAGGTTCTACTGGGGAACCTGCTGTTACGCATGTGCTCAGGCTATTGTTCTGGCTTTCAGTTATTCATAATTTTATGTTTACTGCGTTACACATCCCAGCAAAGCTCAGTGTTATTGCACATGCTGTTTCACAACTCCCCAGTAACCAACCAGTCTGGTATCAGCACCGATTTTCTTTCTCGCAGATTCTCTGGACCCTAACCTGGCCAGGCAGCTAGAAGAGGTCTTTCACTAGAGATCCCACACCTTTTCAAGCAATACCAAGCAACACTGCAGCAGCTATCTTCGCTTTTGCCACTGCATGGGGTACCCTCTAGTTCCCGCCCAACATGAACACATCTGCCAATATGCTGCCTTGTTGGCCAGAACTCTTAAGGCTGCCTCCACTCCCAGTTATCTTAATATTAGCATCCTTCACAAGGATTAGAAAAGGCCAATGCATTGGCTAACAATTAGCCCTTGCAGTCCCTTCTAACCAAAGCGGGTAAAGGGTTGGCCACCCCCCCAAAAAACTCTCCATAACCCCTGATCTCCTACTTTGTTCGTAAAGTGCATTCTAGTTTTGATGCCACATTTTGGGCCACATGTCTAGTTTCCTCTTTTGGCATGTTATGGAATAGCCACCTCTTAGCTAGCTCAGCACATTCCTTTGAACCATCACAGCAGCTACTCCAATCTGACTTGCAGATTTTTCTACCTGAAGTTTTCCAAAGACAACATGGAATTTTTCAAGATTTCCCAACATTATCAGGTTTCCCAATACTAGGGAGCTTACGAATTGACGACTTCTTTCACCACCACGACATCTGCACAGCGGAAAGCCCCACTATGTGTGTGCAAAAGGGTGTTGCCCAAGATTGAGCATTGTCTCGTGGCCGTTGACAACGACCAAGAAAATGTTTTCGAGTTGTCGCCAGAGCTTCGCAACTTGGGTGTGTTGTGACCTTTTTCTGTGCCATTTTACGTCTTTTGAGTTTGGATTATATTTTCAATTACCTTAGGAGATAACCTAAGGTGGATTTTTGCTTTCTGAAGTCCAAGTTTTCTTTTTTTCCTTACAGTGAGAGATTTTGAACAATGATTTGCAAATCCTTTCAACTGCAGTTATTTTGTTTTGATGTCAGTAGACACTTTATCTCACTTCTTTCATTCAGCCAGAATTTCAAGATCCCAAAACCAGCTAAAACAAACTCGTAAGTCTTAAGTCTTGTGTACATCTTCATTATTTAAGCCACTTCATTGCAAAAAAACTTAATCTTGAATTTTTGTACAGTTGTAGTTAATGTTAATGCAGTGAATATTCTGTTGTACTAGTAAACAAAAAAACCATACTACAGTATTACTTTATAAATTTTGTAGGCCCAAGAGAGGGTTCTTCACTGCAAATCCAATTTATTGTTTCTGCATGTTTGTGGACAAGAAAATGTTTACATATGCTGTGCTCAATTAGAGCTAATTTAATCTATTTCAGAGTTGATTTGCCTTTTAAATGTTGTAGGACTAGCTTATGTTTTTATGACATTAGTATATCTGATGAATGTAACTCTTTTAATTACAGAAATTCTCTGATGAAATGGAGTGGAGAGCATGATGTAATGCTAAGAAGGGAAATTATTGTTCGAATTATGGAAATATAAGGCAGGAAGCCGTGAAAGGGGCCAGTGCCTAGATAGAATTGCTGAGAGTCTTAATCATTTGAAAAAGCCATCCTTTAGTGTGTCCCAAAAGTCTGTGAGAAACAGGCTGAAGATATTAGAGCGAGATTTTAAAAAGAAGTAAAGATCTGAAAAAAATGCTTCTGGGATTTGTTCAGAAAAGACAGAACTCAATCAAATAATGGAAGACTACTTGGAACAGAAGGAAGATTGCAAGAGGGAGTCAGAGAATGCCTCAGAAGAATCTCGGGAAAAGGCAGCAAAGGACAAGGCTACAGCAGAAGACATGAGACACAAGGCAACAGAATCTCTGTCAGAAACAAAGACAAGAGCTGGGTCTGATCTACCAAAAAAGAAAAGGAAACACAATGGAAATAACACTCTCAAACACTTGAGACAGGCATCAGATAGAGAATGTGAATTGAAAAAGCAAGAACTTGAATTTAAAATGGAACAGAAGAAAAGTGCAGCAGCCCAACAAACCCTTATGCTTCAGCAAATGAAGAATCAGCAAGAGCAATTTAAAACAATGCTTCAAAGCCAGGCCCTGCATGAACTTTTGAAAGAGAGAAATTGATGTATTGTTGGACTAATTTGTTTAGATTTTATGGGTGTAGTTGTGCTTATGGTTACATTTTTTGGTAATGCGATACCCCTTTCTCCATATTTAATGTATGATCTCTATTTACTATTTAATGAAAAGTTGAAACAAAATTCTACTTTTGATGCTGTTGAATTCCACATTGACACAAAAATAACAGAAGTTTAAACTATATGATTACATAAAGTAACCATCTAGGGGTGGTGGGTTGATACCAAAGTACTCTGAGCTAATACACTGGTACAAAATAGTATGAGAGTTCTGAATCAAGGTACAGTCTATGTACATTTTCCCCACTGCACTTAAACCAATTTTGAGGTTCTTTTTAAAATCCAAAAATTTAAAGTAATTAATTATGTCTCCAAAAACCCATTCAACAGCAGTGTGTGCACCATTCATGGCTGTATTGTAGTGTTTCTTCTCTTAGGCTAGAGTTCCACCCCTAAAAGGTCCTCGCAAGTGTGCACGCAGGGGATATGCAGGGTCGCCGCATAGACACTGGGTGTTCCAGTTATGGGGGAATTAGAGAATCTTTGCAGCTGTTGCAAAAGACCTGATGTTAGCATGCTGCTATCATGGTGCCTCCCTTCTACAGGGCCATACAAATGACCAACCAGTGCACTAGGCAATGTCACAGATTGAAATTTTATGAAATGCACCCGCTTGTGTCCATTGTAGATAACTCTTTGATCGACACCTGGCCTACAAACTGGCCAAATAGTTCCATCAATGAAACCCCAACAATTGTCTGAAGCTGCGCCTGACTGATGCCCAACATCAGCATATTATGTACGGTTTGCTGGCGAAAGCAGGTTATGATCACACATGTAGGTAGTCAGCAAGTGATTCCATCAATTGTAAATTCAGTCAGTCAAATTCAGATCTCTGGGACTGGTCTTGCAAAGTGAAAAACCATATCTCTATACCAGCAAGGATATGAAAAAGCAGGAATAGACAAATGCAAATACACAAAGCAGGAATAGATTCAACAATTGCAGACCATTGTACGTCACCAACTCATCTGGTAACTGAAGTGCATCCGCAAATTTGTATATGTCATTTTTATAGAAGTGAAAATTCAGCGTTGCATTCAGCATTTGTCAACTTGTCTAGTTCAAATCTTTCATAGTTCGAACACAGAAAATCGGGTTTTTTTTGACCTGTTCGCATCATACAACAAAACAAACTCTCTGCCATTGAAAAATCCTATTTTGTATGCATACACAATGCAGTTTCGTCTCTCTTAAGTTTGGCATTTCTCTCGTAGTTTCTCTAAGGGATATATCTTCACAAATAAGTGTTTCCTGGAAAAATTATAATTTCCACAAAGGCACAAACATGGCAAGAGGAAATTACTTCGCGCCAGTCATCGTCCTGATATCGTAATCAAATTTTGGTGCCAAATTACTCCCTTCAAGTAATCAATCAGAGCATAGCATACACTGTAACTAGTCTTTTTTTCAAGTGCTTCACTACAAGTGAGCACATAATTTTTGAGATATTTTTCCCCACCCCCACAAAAAAAAAATTATCCCTTAGGCTTGGGATTCTGGTATGTGGTACACGATGGTGGTAGGTGGTGGTAGGTGGTGCACGGTGAAAATGAAGATGTAATGCATTACTTTATATGTAGAAAGTATCCTGCCTTGCAAATCTACAAAGTTCTTTAGATATTTGCTGTGGATCTGGCAGAAAATACTGCATGGATTTTTTTNATCATAAAGACCGCTTAGCCTTAGAACCCGCGCATCATGTATACTGCCAGGATACCCTACTCTAGCATGGATAAATTTTAAATTTGCATCGACTATGCCTTGCAGATTCACACTGTAGTGTTGCTTGCGATTAAAATAATCTTCGTGATTGTCTGGTGGCGCATTTATTTCTATATGACACCCGTCGATTGCTCCCATTATTTGGGATATTCGATAAGATTCCTCAAACTCGTCCATTTTCCTGAGTTGTCAAAGGAAATTTTATAAAGCGGTTTTTCAAATTAAAAATGGCTTGTTCGAACTCGCTACAAATAATTTTCGCCGTTGACTTTCCAAGGCCAAATTGTAAACCACAACTTCTGTAGCTGTTGCCTGTTGCAAGTCACCAGAGTGAAAAGACCAACTCTTTCCTCCACACTGACCGGATCTCGGAACCTCGTGTGTTGCTTTTGTAAGTTCACCCTCACAAGGTCACATAAGTAATCGAAGGTTTTGCATGTCACTCTAAAATGTTCTTTCCAAAGAAAATTCAGCACTGGATTTGCCAACAAACTACAGAACCAGTTTTGTGGTCGTGGCCAAGCCCAACCTCTTCTTCTTCGTGACGCATTTTGACTCATTTGGCAGAAAAGCATCAACATAATCCGGCGTTGGTTCCTTCGTCGCATTCTAAATTCTTCCTCAACAATGAGAAAGTGATAAGCTTGGTGAAGCAGCATAGCCCGCTGTCGTTGCAGCAAGAGAAATAAAAGCCAAATAATAAAAGCAATTTTGAGCTTTTGAGGTCGCATGATGTAAAATAGATGTTTAAATCTTTGCCGCACTCACGCATATGCTTAATATACTTGGCGAGTAATTTGATTGACGGCTCTGTCACTTGAAGTGTACTTAGAATTTTAAATATGAACGCTTATCAAGGTAAGTGAACATATGTGATCTCAAGTATACTTGAGGTCTTTGTGTACTTAAGGTCTACTTACTAAGCTAGTATGAACCCACCTAATAAGATAACATTGTCATCACAAAGCCAGATAAAAGTATTGATGTAGCTGTTATGAGTACATCTTTATGATATAACGAGAAGCTACCAATGAGACCATCCTTATCTGCCATGGGTACCAACAACTATGCCCTTGTCAAATGGCTTGATGAGAAGTTGAACCCCCATCAGTCTATTGCTTCATAATATCAGATAGCTTCTCTTTTGCTAAAAGATTCGAAAACTGGACATCGACAAGAACACCATAATGGTATCCTATGATATCACATCTTTGTACACAAATAGACCCCTCCAAAAACCATCAAAATCATCCCTGAAAAGATGTTCGTAGACAACTGTTTAAATGAAACAATCTTAATACCACTCAACCTGATCTGATTCAACTGCTAGAAAAAGCACCACGGCATCACCTGTTCCAGGTTGATGTCAAGCTTTACAACTGGACTGACAATGTAGGTATAAGCCTTTACAATGTAGGTATAAGCCCCTAGTTACAAACAGATGGGGAAACTGGAACAAGACAACAAAATCCCAGATTTCCGCAGAAGCTATGTGGACCACATCCTTTCTACAAAAATAGATGTATCAGCAGCAAAAGCTTTCTTGTCAATCCTTAACACAGTGTTCCAGCTAAGTTTTTAGAAGGGGTCACACCATTTATCAGGTGGGTCCCCAAAACATGGGAGTTGCCCATCTGGTGCAGTGGTCATGTTGGAAGAGAAGGATCAGGAAGGGGAGTCAACCCTTTCTGTAGGGAAGGGCCTCTTAGCACTACCCCTGGAAATTTTAAGGACTTTGATATTTCATGGTGCTCTCTTAAGGTAGCATTTGGTAGAGACAAAAACATGAAAATAAGTTCAAATAATCTTGTTACGAAAATAATGATCAATTTATAAAAATCAATTGTCTTTCAAATACCAAACATTGTATAGCCATTTCTGATTTATCTTATTTACAGATGTCAAAGATTAGATGTTAAGGCCTTCACTATGGTTCTTTGTAATACCTATTGTCAGTGGTCCGATGATCACCACTGGGCTTTTGTAGTCCAAAAAAATGTCAAAATTTTCATGTTCTCCTTTTAAACTGGTTCAGACATCTAGAGAAAAATGCTGCTCTCTTCCCCTGTGTTGTTTTGATAATTCAATATACAATCTTCTTTTATGATAGACTTTTCCACTACACAATCGTCTTTTACGATAGACTTTCACAACCCTACACATTGATCATAAAGAAGTTCTGGCTCAAACCTTGCCAGCCTCCATCTGAGTTCCTCATTGGCAAAATCAAAATGAAATCATTCCTTGTGATAATGCAGCTGCAATGCACATTATCAATAAAGGTTCTACTGGGGAACCTGCTGTTACGCATGTGCTCAGGCTATTGTTCTGGCTTTCAGTTATTCATAATTTTATGTTTACTGCGTTACACATCCCAGCAAAGCTCAGTGTTATTGCACATGCTGTTTCACAACTCCCCAGTAACCAACCAGTCTGGTATCAGCACCGATTTTCTTTCTCGCAGATTCTCTGGACCCTAACCTGGCCAGGCAGCTAGAAGAGGTCTTTCACTAGAGATCCCACACCTTTTCAAGCAATACCAAGCAACACTGCAGCAGCTATCTTCGCTTTTGCCACTGCATGGGGTACCCTCTAGTTCCCGCCCAACATGAACACATCTGCCAATATGCTGCCTTGTTGGCCAGAACTCTTAAGGCTGCCTCCACTCCCAGTTATCTTAATATTAGCATCCTTCACAAGGATTAGAAAAGGCCAATGCATTGGCTAACAATTAGCCCTTGCAGTCCCTTCTAACCAAAGCGGGTAAAGGGTTGGCCACCCCCCCAAAAAACTCTCCATAACCCCTGATCTCCTACTTTGTTCGTAAAGTGCATTCTAGTTTTGATGCCGCATTTTGGGCCACATGTCTAGTTTCCTCTTTTGGCATGTTATGGAATAGCCACCTCTTAGCTAGCTCAGCACATTCCTTTGAACCATCACAGCAGCTACTCCAATCTGACTTGCAGATTTTTCTACCTGAAGTTTTCCAAAGACAACATGGAATTTTTCAAGATTTCCCAACATTATCAGGTTTCCCAATACTAGGGAGCTTACGAATTGACGACTTCTTTCACCACCACGACATCTGCACAGTGGAAAGCCCCACTATGTGTGTGCAAAAGGGTGTTGCCCAAGATTGAGCATTGTCTCGTGGCCGTTGACAACGACCAAGAAAATGTTTTCGAGTTGTCGCCAGAGCTTCGCAACTTGGGTGTGTTGTGACCTTTTTCTGTGCCATTTTACGTCTTTTGAGTTTGGATTATATTTTCAATTACCTTAGGAGATAACCTAAGGTGGATTTTTGCTTTCTGAAGTCCAAGTTTTCTTTTTTTTCCTTACAGTGAGAGATTTTGAACAATGATTTGCAAATCCTTTCAACTGCAGTTATTTTGTTTTGATGTCAGTAGACACTTTATCTCACTTCTTTCATTCAGCCAGAATTTCAAGATCCCAAAACCAGCTAAAACAAACTCGTAAGTCTTAAGTCTTGTGTACATCTTCATTATTTAAGCCACTTCATTGCAAAAAAACTTAATCTTGAATTTTTGTACAGTTGTAGTTAATGTTAATGCAGTGAATATTCTGTTGTACTAGTAAACAAAAAAACCATACTACAGTATTACTTTATAAATTTTGTAGGCCCAAGAGAGGGTTCTTCACTGCAAATCCAATTTATTGTTTCTGCATGTTTGTGGACAAGAAAATGTTTACATATGCTGTGCTCAATTAGAGCTAATTTAATCTATTTCAGAGTTGATTTGCCTTTTAAATGTTGTAGGACTAGCTTATGTTTTTATGACATTAGTATATCTGATGAATGTAACTCTTTTAATTACAGAAATTCTCTGATGAAATGGAGTGGAGAGCATGATGTAATGCTAAGAAGGGAAATTATTGTTCGAATTATGGAAATATAAGGCAGGAAGCCGTGAAAGGGGCCAGTGCCTAGATAGAATTGCTGAGAGTCTTAATCATTTGAAAAAGCCATCCTTTAGTGTGTCCCAAAAGTCTGTGAGAAACAGGCTGAAGATATTAGAGCGAGATTTTAAAAAGAAGTAAAGATCTGAAAAAAATGCTTCTGGGATTTGTTCAGAAAAGACAGAACTCAATCAAATAATGGAAGACTACTTGGAACAGAAGGAAGATTGCAAGAGGGAGTCAGAGAATGCCTCAGAAGAATCTCGGGAAAAGGCAGCAAAGGACAAGGCTACAGCAGAAGACATGAGACACAAGGCAACAGAATCTCTGTCAGAAACAAAGACAAGAGCTGGGTCTGATCTACCAAAAAAGAAAAGGAAACACAATGGAAATAACACTCTCAAACACTTGAGACAGGCATCAGATAGAGAATGTGAATTGAAAAAGCAAGAACTTGAATTTAAAATGGAACAGAAGAAAAGTGCAGCAGCCCAACAAACCCTTATGCTTCAGCAAATGAAGAATCAGCAAGAGCAATTTAAAACAATGCTTCAAAGCCAGGCCCTGCATGAACTTTTGAAAGAGAGAAATTGATGTATTGTTGGACTAATTTGTTTAGATTTTATGGGTGTAGTTGTGCTTATGGTTACATTTTTTGGTAATGCGATACCCCTTTCTCCATATTTAATGTATGATCTCTATTTACTATTTAATGAAAAGTTGAAACAAAATTCTACTTTTGATGCTGTTGAATTCCACATTGACACAAAAATAACAGAAGTTTAAACTATATGATTACATAAAGTAACCATCTAGGGGTGGTGGGTTGATACCAAAGTACTCTGAGCTAATACACTGGTACAAAATAGTATGAGAGTTCTGAATCAAGGTACAGTCTATGTACATTTTCCCCACTGCACTTAAACCAATTTTGAGGTTCTTTTTAAAATCCAAAAATTTAAAGTAATTAATTATGTCTCCAAAAACCCATTCAACAGCAGTGTGTGCACCATTCATGGCTGTATTGTAGTGTTTCTTCTCTTAGGCTAGAGTTCCACCCCTAAAAGGTCCTCGCAAGTGTGCACGCAGGGGATATGCAGGGTCGCCGCATAGACACTGGGTGTTCCAGTTATGGGGGAATTAGAGAATCTTTGCAGCTGTTGCAAAAGACCTGATGTTAGCATGCTGCTATCATGGTGCCTCCCTTCTACAGGGCCATACAAATGACCAACCAGTGCACTAGGCAATGTCACAGATTGAAATTTTATGAAATGCACCCGCTTGTGTCCATTGTAGATAACTCTTTGATTGACACCTGGCCTACAAACTGGCCAAATAGTTCCATCAATGAAACCCCAACAATTGTCTGAAGCTGCGCCTGACTGATGCCCAACATCAGCATATTATGTACGGTTTGCTGGCGAAAGCAGGTTATGATCACACATGTAGGTAGTCAGCAAGTGATTCCATCAATTGTAAATTCAGTCAGTCAAATTCAGATCTCTGGGACTGGTCTTGCAAAGTGAAAAACCATATCTCTATACCAGCAAGGATATGAAAAAGCAGGAATAGACAAATGCAAATACACAAAGCAGGAATAGATTCAACAATTGCAGACCATTGTACCTCACCAACTCATCTGGTAACTGAAGTGCATCCGCAAATTTGTATATGTCATTTTTATAGAAGTGAAAATTCAGCGTTGCATTCAGCATTTGTCAACTTGTCTAGTTCAAATCTTTCATAGTTCGAACACAGAAAATCGGGTTTTTTTTGACCTGTTCGCATCATACAACAAAACAAACTCTCTGCCATTGAAAAATCCTATTTTGTATGCATACACAATGCAGTTTCGTCTCTCTTAAGTTTGGCATTTCTCTCGTAGTTTCTCTAAGGGATATATCTTCACAAATAAGTGTTTCCTGGAAAAATTATAATTTCCACAAAGGCACAAACATGGCAAGAGGAAATTACTTCGCGCCAGTCATCGTCCTGATATCGTAATCAAATTTTGGTGCCAAATTACTCCCTTCAAGTAATCAATCAGAGCATAGCATACACTGTAACTAGTCTTTTTTTCAAGTGCTTCACTACAAGTGAGCACATAATTTTTGAGATATTTTTCCCCACCCCCACAAAAAAAAAATTATCCCTTAGGCTTGGGATTCTGGTATGTGGTACAAGATGGTGGTAGGTGGTGGTAGGTGGTGGTAGGTGGTGCACGGTGAAAATGAAGATGTAATGCATTACTTTATATGTAGAAAGTATCCTGCCTTGCAAATCTACAAAGTTCTTTAGATATTTGCTGTGGATCTGGCAGAAAATACTGCATGGATTTTTTTTGTTCATCATAACACATCCAAGGAACATTATCATTACTCACTACAATTTGAAAAAGATTCAAATCCACAGTATGTGGACCCAATTAAAGCAGTTGTTCTAAGAAATGCTGTATTTGTTATCTGAGTTCCAACATAAAAAAGGTTTAATGCTTCATGTCCATCACCATGAATCATTAAGCAGGGCTCAATATTTAAAAAAATATATTAAGTCGCCATTTTGTGGTCAGTTATGAAAAGTTAGTTGCAAGTTCAAAAATTTTAGTTGCAAGTAAACACAAATTAATTATTTAAAGTCACATTAACAACAAAAACGTATACCGATACACTCTATCTTTGCATGAGTTACGTTAAGTTCTGTCTATACATGTACCTTCAAGTAGCTTAACAGTTGAGGTACATTGTCATCAAATCTGTATATCTTTGTAACAACAAACACGCTTGATACGAGTGACCCACCATGTTTGTTTTGCGGATGGATCCAACAGCAAAATATGTCCCACGGTTACATATTTATATAGCAACCACTGCAATGGCATCTGATTGGACAAATACTGTTCATAATGTCAAAAGATTAGGCAGTATTATGCCCAGACATGTTCACATTTCTATAACAATTACAACACAAAACAACTGAAATTTATATATAACATATATAAATTTCAATTGTATATCTGAAGGTAACTTTGATGAGCACGATTTGACTGACTTTGGTGATGATGACAGTGATGCTCCTAGTTCATGTAATCAGCACCAGAAATGTGAAATTGACCTAATACTGTCACATTGATCACAAAACAAGCACTCAATGTGATCAGTTTTATCAAGATCAGCTGATGGAGATGACTCAGAAGCTTGGATGTGAGGATCAGCTTGACCAAGATCAGAAGCATGAATGTGATCAATCTAAACAGATCAGGATAAGGAACAAGTCCAGCAACTTCAGCAGCTTGAGGGAGATGAAGACTTAGCTTTTGATCTTCAAAGATGTTATGATGTGGAGGATATCATCACTCATGAGGATGAAAACACAACAATCAGTGATTCATCTTCAGTGGTAACCTATTTAGGTACGCAGGTAGATGAGTCAAGAAAGAGTTAGACTGTAATCATGTCTGCAACTTGTATCTTGCCTTTGTCTTTCAGAAAATTAAAAAAGTATATTTTCCTTTCACTGAAATCCTATACTTTTTCCCCAACCATATTCTTTTAACTGAAGCAAAGTCTCTAAATGAACACTGAAAAACACTGGAAGCCAATTGACAAATGTTGACGTGATTGACATATAACAGACTAGCAGATTTCATGTGTTCCACAAAATATTTGAAGGATAATAAACACAATAGCCTTCATTTGACTTTAAAAATATGCTTAGATATTTGTCCCCGGGGTGGGGCATTCACAATTTTATCGCCGCCTGGGGCCTGGGCATTTGCGTACCCAGCGGCGACCCCCAGGGTGACCCCCGGGCATTTGACACACCTGTTTTCGAAAGTTCCATGGATGAGTTCATCGGGAAACATGAGGCGTTTGTCAAACAATGGCTTGTCCGTTAGGGACTAGAGAAACTCATAGATGTTTTTACAGGTATATTTTCTCAATTTTAGATATTTCTTCATTACTTGTAAGCATATATGAGCGACAAGGTGAACTACATTTTGTTTATCACAAAACAATCACAGATGTGAACACAACTACTTCGCATTTCGTATTCAAAACTAGCCTAGCATTTTTAAGCGATGACATAATCGCTTTATGCTGGCAGGCAGGCATTCCTTTGGATAGTGATTTTGCATAGTTTGTCGCCCTTATGTCCATGC